TCCTCCCTCCTCCCTCCTCCTCCTCCGCTTCCTCATTTTCCCCTTCCTCCTTCCTCCTTCCTTCTCCTTCCTCCTACTCCCTCCCCCTCCATCCTCCCCTCCTCCTCCTCCTCCTCCTCCTCCTCCTCCTTCTCATCATCATTCTCGTCATCATCGTCATCCTAGTAGTAGCAAGTTTCATACTCCCCGTCGTCGTCGTTATCATGACCAGCAGCACCAGCATCATCACAGTACTCATAGTCATTATCAGCACCACTATCATCATTACCATAATCATCATCGTTGTCGTCGTCATCATCATCACCATCATCACCGCCATCATCATCAGCATCATCATCATCGCCATCGCCATCACCATCAACATCACCATCTCCATCGCCATCGCCATAATCACCAGCATCATCATCATCATCATCATAACTTATCATTATACTTCTCATCATCATCACCATCATCATCACCACATTCATCGCCGCATTCATATTCATATTCACCACCATCATCATCGTCACCATCATCATCGTCATCATCACCACCATCAGCATTATCAGCATCATCATCGCCATCAACAACACGCGCTATGAGTGCAGCGCCTGCCGGGGCGCCACGTGGCGTTCAGTGGGCACGAGGGGTCAGAACAACCCCGGCTTTGAAGGCGTACCCTCCTGCTCTTCGCGTCTGGGGCTCTCCTTCGCCTGGGGTGTACCTCCATGGGGCCTTGGCCCCTCGGTATATCAGGAGGGAAGAAGCGCACACACACAGACACAAGTATGCGTCGATTCCCCAGAAAATATGGGAACATCTTGGAAGTGGGGGGGAAGACCAAAACCCAATCAATATGGGAAAATATGGGGAATCCTATCATTTGTGTCTATTTATGTGTGTGTCCCAAGGCCCCTTCAGCATAAGGGGTTTGTGCTCTTGCTCCGTGCTCCTGTTAGGATGTAACTCCTGGGAGGTGAAGCTCCGCATCGATGCTGGCATAGTTCGGGGGCGACCAAGAGAGGGGTGATGACTGGGGGGGCGGTGGACATCATGGCGGGGACCAAGATATCCCCCCGGATCTCATAGTGCCTCATACTATTTCAATGCGTCCCCGGCCCCCCCTGGGCCGCGCACGTGCCGCCGGCCACGATGTGCGCCCCCCCCCCCCCCCCCCCCACCCCCCCGCCCCTTGGATGCCCCCCTCTTGGACGCCTTCGAATATCATATCCGTGATCAAGAACTGGCCCAATCCAGCATACAGCTTAATGTGGCTGAGCCCCGGGGCGGAATTGGGCGGGGTCGGCTCAATGGCCCCTCAATCGGGCTCAGTGACCCCTACAGTGAGACCCATGCCAAGGAACACCCTGCTTGCCTACGGGGTTACCTGGGTTTCTTGGATTTCGATGCTATTGCCGTGGAGAGCGTGACGTTCCCACACCAAAAATCAACGGACTTCCTGGGGTCTGGGGATTGGGTTTCTTGTGGAAGGTTTGTCGCGGACTGGCCTCCACTGTGCTCGCTCTTGCGAAGGCCCCCCCCCAGGAGTTGCCTCCACACTCCTGTGGTCGTGCTCCGTCCGTGCCGCCATTCCACCCCGGCCCGCGGCGCCGCCCGGCCCGCCCCTCTCCGCCCCCGCGCTCCCGCCTCGCGAGGAGGGCGCGGCGCCCTACCAGCTGCGGGTGACGGACGCGGAGGCAGGCTCTCGAAGAGAAGAACAAAAACGTCATAAAAATAAACTTTTCGGCGCTCCGCGCGGATTTCTTGAATCCGCGCTGGGGCCCCCAGGCGGCGCCTCCGCCTCCAGCGCCGCCCCTGGCGCGCTCCGCGCGCCAGGGAGGGGGGGCCAGCGCAGATCCAAGAAATCCTCGCGGAGCGCCAAAAGTGTATGTTTCATGGCGTTTTTTCTTTTAGGCTCTCCGCTCGCCTGAAACTCATCACCCGCCAAACCACACCAACCCAACGCGAAGGCTTCAATTTGCCCTCCATTTCCAGTGTGGGGGGGCGGGGAACATCGAATAAAACACGTATGGAGCCCGTACCCCCCCCTCCCTTCCAACCCGAGACTCGGGTCTTCGGGTTGGGTTGGGGTTGTCTGGTAGGCAGTCAGAAGCGCTGTTGTTCCCCCTGCCCCATGATAGGGCTGTTTGTGATTCCCCACGCCTCCAGGCCTCCCAGACGGGGTCGGAGCAGATGGGGTCGGAGGATCGTGCCGCATCGCCGATGCGTCGGCGATGCGGCTCGGTGTGGGGCTCGATCTTCTCCGCGCGGGCGTCGCCGATGCACCGCCGACGTCGCCGACGCATCGCCGATGCATCGGCGTCGCGGCGCGATCCTCCGACCCCATCTACTCGGACCCCATCTAGGGGGCCTCGAAAGTTGGAGTTCTTGCTGTTAGTATGATGCCTCCACCTTCCTCTTTCCTCCCACCTCGTTCTTCCTCGCTCTCAGACTTCTCGCGCGAACTCAGGCGAACTCTGGCCCGCCTACCTCGCACACTCATACCAAGCTCAGCTTAGCCATAGTCAGGCCCGCTCATACACAGCTTAGTCATACCTAGACTTTCCCACACCAGTCGCTGATACTCCCGATCACTCACACTTAACCCACTCATGTTCAGACTCATCCGCAGACTCGCTCACACTCAGACTCACTTACACTTCGACTCACTCGTACTCAGACTCAGACTCGCACTCAGGCCAAGACTCACTCACGCTCCGAGAAGTCGCAGGACCGCCGTGATGCAGCGGGCGGTGGCATCTGGGCACCCGGAGGGGGAGCCGCCAGGGGGTTAGGACACGTGCTCGTCTGCGGCCGGCTCGCGGTGAAGCCTCGGGCGAGGTGCTCTGCGTGGAGTCGCCGGTTCTCTCGGTCTTCGAGAGTCCCGCGAGCACCGCGGTGTGGCAGGCGTGGCATGTGGGCACCCGACGGAGGGGCCGCCGGGGGGGCAGGTCGCGTGCCTGTTTGCTGCCGGCTTGTGGGGATGTCTCGGGCGAGGTGCTCGTTTGAAGTCCCCCGACTCCTCTGCTTCGAGTCCTGGGATCACCGCGGTGTAGCAGGCGCTGCACGTGGGCACCCGACGGGGGAGCCGCCAGGGAGTATGACACGTGCCCGTTTGCTGCCAGCTTGTGGGGATGCCTCGCGCGAGGTGCTCGTGTGGAGTCCCCGTCCCGTGATCACCGTGGTGCAACAGGCGTGGCACTTGGGCACCCGAATGTGGAGCCGCCAGGGAGGGTTACACTTAACCGTTCGCGGCCAGATTGCGGGGGTGTCTCTGGCGAGGCGCTCGGTTTGACCTGCGACTCCTCCTCCGCTGTGAGGGCCCCATGACCACGGCGATGTAGGGGGCATAGCATTTGGACGCCACAGGGGCGAGCCGCCAGAAGGGTGTGCACGGCCAGATTGTGGGACTGTCTCGAGCGAGGCGCTTTCCGTGCACCGCCAAGTCCTTTCCGTTCCAGAGCCCCATGGCCGCCGCGACGTAGGAGGCACTGCACCGGGACACCCCACGGGGAGCCGCCGGGGAGTGCTACACGGGCCCGTTCGCGGCCAGATGGCGGGGAGGTCTCGGGCGAGGTGCTTGTTTTGCACCTGCGTCTCCTCCCTTGTCAGAGCCCCATGATCACAGCGAGAGAAGGGCGGTCCCCGATTCAGGGTTGAAGGTTCCTTGGATGGCTAAACGGAAACACGCACCAGAGGACACCCAGTCATAACACGTTCAGGCAGCGCGCTCGTGGCGGGTGAGAACAACGGATGGATAACGTGGTTGCCTGTACTCTTTATTCTCTGCTTTTTACTTTCTCGTTTCTACTCTTCGTTCACTGCTCTTCAATCTCAACTCTGAGGCTCTCTTTTTTTCAACTGATCTCTTGCATGTGATCTCTACTCTCCAGCCTCTTAGCCTCCAGTCTCTACTTTCGTGCCCTGCATTCTATTCTCGCTCTAACATGTGCTCTCTGCTCTCAGCCTCCTGCATTCTGGGCACCATGCCCTCTGCTCCACCGTCTTTACTCTGTATGTCCTTCTGCATCTAGATGTGCGTATACTTCCTGCTCTGTGTTATGCTGTCTCTGCTTTCTCTACTCTTGTTCGTCTCTCTACTCTAGTTTGTCTCTCTACTCTTGTTCGTCTCTCTGCTTCCTACTCTTTCGGCTCTCTTTCTCTCTCTCTCTCTCTGTTCGCTGCTCGGGAAGCCCAGGAAGCCCGACGTCCATAGCGAATCGGCGGCACGCGTTGGCAAAGCACCGACAGGGCAGTACAGTGGGGGCCCATGCCACGAACCACCCTGCTTGCCTCCAGGGTGCCCTGGGTTTCTTGGGTTTCGACGATTTTGCTATGGAAAGCGCGACTTTCCCGCACCAAAATACCACTGGACGTCCTGGGGTCTCAGGGTTTGGTTTCTCGTGGGATGTTTCTTGTGGACTGACCTCCACTGTGCTGGGAGCCCAGGATCCAGAAACCTGGACCGCCCACCGAAACCAGTGCAGCATTTTCGCGCAAGATCGTTCCACACTACAGTCTTCGTGATGGTCCCCTTCCAGCCCACAAAGAACAGTCAGGATGCAATTCCTGGGAAGTTACGTTCAGCATCGGCGTTGGCATGCCTGTGGTCGAAAACCAGCCTAGTCGGGCATATTGCCGCTGAGTTCCGCTGAATCCCGCTGAATCTGGCTTAATCCAGCTCAACCCAGACTTCACCTGGGCTGATCCGACTCAGTGGCCCTTGAATCGAGCTGAAATAGCCCTTACTCGTCCTCACGGAGCTCTCACAGCAGTTGCCTCTGAAGAATCAGAGAAATGCAGAATTAAAAGCTCTGCGGAGGCCTCTTTTCGTTGGTTTTGAATGTGCAGTTTACGAACATGTGGTCGGATTCAGTCGAAGAAGACAGAATGGCCTAAGCATAAAGTTTTCTCTTAAGAATCGGAGAAAATGAAGAATGAACAGCTCCACGGAGGCCTTTTTCATGCAGGCGCTGATCGGGGAAGCACAAGGTCGATGGCCAGATACGGGGCCATCTCCCCCGCCTCCCTGCAGCCGTTTTGGCCCTGGCCTTCTTCTCTGGCCCTTTTTTTCCCGGCCGCCTGGACACGCCTCCTGGCGGTCCGCTGCTCTCGGGAGCGCCCCAGAGGGGGGTCATGACTAGGGGGGGTGGATCTCATGGCATGGGCCATGATCTTTCCTCACATTTCATGGCGCCTCATCTCATCTCATTACGTTCCCCCTGGGCCGCGCACATGCCGCCAGCCACGATTTGAGCCCCCCCCCCTCCTGGACGCCCCCCTCTTGGCCGCCCCCGCTGCTCGCGGTCGCACATCTCGAGGAGAGCAGCGACCTGCACAGACGCATAAGCTCGCGGAGGTCGCGCGGATGTTTCTCGGATCGGCTCGGGGCCCCCGTGGCTTTAAGTCGGGCATGTACAGGAAGAGTAGTCAAAAATTGTAAAAAATAGCCTGGGGACGATTTTTCGATTATTTTTGACTCTTATCGAGTGTTTTTTTTTGAGTATTTCAAATTTTTCGTCCACAGCCCGCCTGTAGGGGGACATGCCCGACCTGACCCTGGCGGCGCCTCCCCGCGCGCCAGGGAGGGGTTCGGCGCGGATTCAAGAACAGTCCCCGCGGGCCCTCAGATGCTTGTGTGTTTGTGCAGTTCTTGTTCTCCGATCTCCGCAGTCCACTTCTCGCGGTCGTGAGTCATGGGTGCCACCCTCGCCAAGGTGTGGCAGCGTTTTGCGGGCCAGCAGGAGATGCGCATCCTGATGCTGGGCCTGGACGCGGCGGGCAAGACGACGGTCCTCTACAAGCTGAGGCTGGGGGAGGTGGTGACGACGGTCCCGACCCTGGGCTTCAACGTCGAGAGCGTGGAGTACAGGCGAGGGGAGCGAAACACACACACACACCCATATCCTCGCACTCCTCCCCCTCTTCCCGAGCTCCCCCTTCCGAGATGGACGATGGATGAGAGGGGGAAGCGCGTCTTGCTTATGCCTTGTCTTCAAGCAGGAACATCAGCTTCACGGTGTGGGACGTTGGCGGGCAAGACAAGATCCGCAGGCTTTGGCGCCACTATTACAGCGGCACGCAGGGCCTTATCTTCGTGGTGGACAGCAGCGATGGCGAGCGTGCGGGCGATGCCCGGGAGGAGCTTCTGAGTGTGCTCGGGGAGGAGGAGATGCGACATGCCGCTGTGCTGGTCCTGGCTAACAAGCAAGACCTGCCCCACGCCATGCCCGCGGCAGAGGTGGCAGAGAAGCTCGGTCTCCCAGGCATGCGCAACCACAAGTGGTTCATCCAGTCTACCTGCGCTACCTCAGGAGACGGCCTGTACGAGGGCCTCGACTGGCTGTCGCGCGCTGTGCCGTCTCGACAATGAAGGCATAGACTGGCTGTCGCGCACTGTGGCGTCGCGACTGTACTGTCGCCGTTCCTGGAGGGTGAGCGAGGGGAGGGCCCGAAGAAGGAGCCATTCCATAAACATACAACTTTCAGAGCTCCGCGCAGATCTCTTGGATCGGCTCTGGGCCCCCCCGGCGGCGCCTCCGGAGCTGTGTCCTGCGCCGATCCAGGTAATCCGCGCGGAGTTTCGAACAATCTGTTTACGTCGTTTGATCTTATTCCTTGGTACAGTCGGGGCGCTGAACAAGGAACCCTTTTCGTTGGGGAGGGGCTCCGTGTTCCCTAATAATTGGTTTGTTTCGCAGTTTGCCGTAGGTTGTCTTCAGGTTTTCGATGGGGAACCGAAGTTTCACTTATGGAGAAACAGGGGCCTCGTTCCTTTTTTCGGGTCCCTAAGGTCGAGGCCCCGACGGTATTGGCGAGGGGAGGACGACCTCGGCAGTCAGTTTTTTTTTTTTTTTGTGCTTGTGCCCCTGGCGCGAGCCTGTGGCCTTTGAAGCTCCGCCCTGTGAGGTGGAGGGCGGCCCCAGAGCTCTGCGCCTCGGCCGCTGCGGGGTGGTCTGTGCAGTCTTCACACACAGAGTGGGAGGTGGCCACGGCGCGGTCGGCTCCAATTTTTTTTTCTCTCTTTCGGGGACGGACAGGACCCCCAACAGTGACACGTCGGTTCGTGAAGTGTCCGTTTTCGGTTCCCGCGAGGGCGCCGCGGCCGTCATTTCCCAGGCCTGCGCCCGCCAGGTTTGGACCTCAGGTCGTTTTCGCTAAACCACGTTGTGCTAAAGGGGGGTCTGTCCATCCCCGACTCTTGGGGCTCGGTGGCGCTGGCATGCGTGAGGATGCTGTACGTGCGCGTGCCAGCTTAGGGTAGCGAGCGGTGAACAAACGCCTCGTCCCCGCCGTCGGTGTCATCGCCGTCGTCGTCGTCCCTCTCCTTGCTCTCCTCCTCCTCTTCCTCGCCCTCACTGTCGTCTCTGTCATCGTCCCCGCCATCCCAATCTTCATGCGTCCCTCTCTTACTACCCTACCCCGTCTCCCTGTCGCCAGCGCACATGCAACATGCTCCGTCTCCAGGTGCACGTCGTCTCGACAAGCCGTTGCGGCTTTGACGATTACGCAGGCCCT